CAACAGCCAGGCATAGGCGCGGGGCCTTCAAAGTCTAACAACCTTTATACAATTGCTTTATTTCACTTTTAGCCTACTAAAAAGTTCATAACGAACAATTTTGTTTTTCTATCAGTATGGAAGCGACTGACTCACATAAAGTTTTCAAAAAGTATAAAAACCAACCCCACTGCTCATATTCTCACAAGAAAACTAATCAACCAATAGGGCCTGCTACACGCAGACCCCCTAGAGAGCAACAAGTCGACTAACATTAGTGTTCAAAAGTATCTGGATACGGACTGAAATAAATTTTCAGGAAATGGGCGCGTTTACCTCGGTGTTGGCTAGTGTTATCAGCTAGCAGTACTGTGAATCCCTAGTTCAACCCTCTTACATGCATGATACCTTTTAATTCCTTATTAATTTAAGATGTTTGTTCAGTCGTATGCTATAGATGCAGTGGCGCATCCGTATAAAGAAAAATTACTGTATAGTCAAGATAGTTTTTTAAAACCTACATGTTCTGCTACAAGCTGAGTTAAGTTGATAACAGCTATTTCGTGCGACACTTGGTCCAGAGAGTATAGGGTGACGACCAACGGCGCTGAGGCTGTCGAATCTTTATCGGAGGGCTCCTCATTGCCTTCCGTCTCTTCGCTAGGAACCGGCAGACCTAAGCCACCAAGAGACAGCGTGTCTTCGTCCTTTGTCGCTGCTTTTCCTTTTTCTTGTGGTTCAATGACATTCAGGAAGGCACCCGACAGGGGCAGCATGACCGTCAGCGTAATGAGGCGGAGTCGATCACCCCTGAGCTCATGCGACTTGGCAAGACGATGAGCTTCTGGGTCTGAAGTGCAGTATATTTAGGGGATAAAGTTAAGAAAACTGGAGAAATTATGTGCTTTAGCAAGGACATTGGAGAAGGCTTAAAACGCTGACTTACAAAATTTCAAGGGGGGCACAACTAATAGCCTGGGCTGTCAGCGTTAAAAACGCAGTTGCAGAAATAAGGCCAAGAATCGCACAAATCCAAGAAAACCACGAAAAATAAACAGCTAAAGTAGAGGTTTTTGCTACAGACATTAGAAAATCAGTTGAAGATTTAATTGAACCAGTCGTTAGAACATAGCACTGCCGGGAAAGGCAAACTGGAAAACCCTAAATCGCCGTACATGAAAATACGCAGAAGGCAATCGAATATATGTTGGAGGGCTCCGCAAAAAAAGACAGAATACATAAGGAGAGTAATTAGTGAAGGTGGCAAATCAGACTCGATAGAAATAGTAAATGCTTAATTTTACTGAAAAGAAACTTGCCATACGTGAGTGTAAATATATATTAAACTTCAAAATTAATTCATTTTATTGGCAAAATAAGGCTCTGGGTGTTTAAACACTAAATGGATGACAATCTGAGAGTGTAGCCTACGAAAATGCATGTACATGGCAACATTAGGCAAAATTTGCTGAGGTTGTCGTGCCTCTGGATAGGTATTGTATGCTTAAAATCGATAATGCAAATTTATACATATACAGAGTTATTCAGGCATGGATTACTCTGCATGCGGACATCTTCATGTCCACATCCGAGGATGCTTTGAAGAGGAAGACTAAAAAGCAGCCCTACATTTCCCCACGCCAAGAAAAACGCATATTTTGCCGCTTGTATCATTTTCTCGGAAAGGCACGCGTTATAAAACATAGATAGTATTTTTTATTTGTTTCGTCAAATACCCTGCGTGGTCTAGTGCATTCTGGCTAACCTCTAATTGTTCGTGTCCGTACTACCCACAACATTTCAGTAATTCGTCTCAATGCGTTGACGATTTCCCCCACGTCACATACAGTTACCATGCGTAGTCATCAGGTATATGCTTGGTACGTACAACTCTACAGCCGGCACTCTGCCCATTTACTCAGTATCATATTAAATTAAAAGTCTACAACTTAGTAAGCTCAAATAGCGTAACCCTTCCTTTTAAATTATTTTTCCAACTACTTTGTAAGCCAGAGTATTAACTATGTGTTATATAATCCTCGTATTAGTTATCACTCATTTGGCCTGACATTGTAGATTTTCGACGAGAATGTGAGGATCATATATGCTAATTCATGCTAGACTTTTCATAAACTTTGACTGCTGCTAGTTTTATGTCTTCTTTTCGTGTAGTCTTATTGCTGTGTAACTATTCTCACAATAAATAGTTATATCGCCCGTGTTTCAGTGTTTCAGATAACTCCAGGTTTTCAGAATGAAAAACACAAAAGATACTTTGAAAAAAGATGCCTACCATATAGAACGTCTTCAGTAACTTTGCAAAACTTGACGCTTGTGTATGTCCGGTTGCTCTGACATTGCATAACCATCGCTACATAGATGATGCCCTTCCATCCCTTTGAAAAGGCCACTGAGCAGACCTCGTGGTGTGACACTTGAAAAAAAAGGTTAGTATCAGAGAAAAGAGCATGCAAGTACGCAAAGAAACAGACGTAAATGCGATAAGCCTCACAATGTTGAAACCCAATGCGCTCATTGTAAGTGAAAAAGATTTGGGGTAGATCTGCCGTAGGAATGACACCAAACTCCGCAAAGCCCGAAAGCTTATCTTGTTCTCAAGTTAAGGTTTGCCAGCATTTGCGGATTTGTATAAAGCCTGTCTTGTTCAATTTCCGAAGGGACTACTGCGCGAACATGGAATAAGTCCTTCGGAACGAACCATTTTCAGGGACGGATCGAAAGTTGACATAAATAAATGATCGGAAATCTATCAGACACTGCGGCATAGCAGCCAATAGACAGTAAATAGTATACACTGCGTAATTATTGATCATACCGACGGCACAGATACCAGCTAATAATGAATATAGTTGACCGCATGTTTTCACTTGTACGCCGTTACTACATAGATATACTGGCTCGATAAGAATGAATCAAAAGCGAGCGTATGCGCGTCAACTGGTATTCTGAATGTATGAATTCGTAAGGGAAGATAAAATCTATAGAGAAATTGCACACTTCTGAACTAGGTATTTTCCTTTTATCTCACGGAGCCCAGAAGACGCCCTATCACAAGCCGGCACCCTTACGTGTCTGAAATATCTCGGGGTTATGCCTCATGATACTACAATTCCAATTAATTTATCATTCCTAATCTAAAACGCATGAGATCGGTCATTGGTCCTTCACGGTTCAATACTTACACAATCAACTGTTTGTTTTAGACTTCAGTTTGATTTTCTATTAAACCGATCTGCTTTTATGTCTGCCAGTACTTCAACATATCACGACTGTGCCTCTTCAGAATAGATTCAGGTATTATTTACGGGGTACATGCATGAAATATTTTATCCTTGATACATGGAGATGAGGTATTTGACGGAAGTATCTCAACAACATACGTAACCCATATGAACGATGATCATGTGAGTTTCAGGCCTTTACTAAGCAGGTTTAACTGAAACAGTTGGATCGTGTGATGAAAGAATGGATCTATTGGATAGTCTGATGTTCACGTTTTGATAAACGCTTTGCAACCAATTGGGATATACAAGGTAGGATTTTGCTGCCAAACAGTACCACACGTCTGAAATAATGATTCCATGGTTGGTGATGCAGTCGGCACGAATGCGTGTGATGCCTTGCAGACAATCAATGATTGGCAATAATCTAGAAATAGCCCAAAATATCAAAAAATAGAGGCAGTCCAGAGATGCAACATGTTCAAGAATTAATGTCCACAAAAATGGGTTATTCGTGGAATCCCATGCAACAAGGAGACTTGACCGTAAATTGCCTAGTGTGCCTAGGTCTCATCGAATGCAGGCAGGTAGGAAAGTTTCCAGTCACTGTTATTTGTGAAATCTGTTGAGGAGTTATAGTACCCGTTGTATAAAAAATTAGTGTTCAGTTTTACTTTCCTGGCAGTAATACGGCCAGACACATTGTACAACAAACGTCGAAACTTGCGCTATGCAGGTAAAGATCTTTAAAAGTTTCCTTGACCCTTTTCGACGTTTAAGGCTCAATAACGAAGTATTTACTCGAGAAAGGTTGTTGATTGCAATCAAAGCCATGGCAAAAGCCCAAATTTAACTCGACTTCCTATCACAGTACCGACTGGTTAGATTAGCTTAATGAAAATAAGCGTCCCATATTTAAGATCCGTATCAAGGAAATTATAATAAAGTTTATTCTGGTTTGCCGTTCCGTGGGCATTCGTAATATCTTTTCCACGTTCCGTAGATTTCTAAGACCAACTTCCGGATGCAGGAGGATTTGAAGGAGAATTCTTTTCTCTACGTGCTTCCTGGTGATTGCTCGTCGGAATCTCATGTGGACGTAAATATGGACGCGACCAACTGATCCAGTTATGTCCCAGCTCATCTTTGGTGTTCGCATGATGTTCGATTAAACTCGCAGGATTTTCCTCTCCATAAGATGTGCTCAGATAATTTTGTTATTGTCATGACCCGGCCTGGCACTAAAAATGCACGCGAACCATATACTTGCTCGACTGTTGCCCCAACAACCAACACGGGCGAAAAAGAGAACATGATCGGCCACGAGAAAATGAACTCGAAACCAACAAGTCATTCTAAATCAAAAGCTGTGTGTATTTATAGCGTTCCACTCACTCTGGCAATATTCTGTCCTGTCCGCTTCAAGATAAGTTTTTAGAACGGCTGAGTTACTTTTCGTGGACATGAATCGATCATATCTGGCAAGAGCTATGCGGCCCCAGGCAGTGCGAAACGCTGTCGCACGCTCATGGTATACAGTGGAGTAAACGCGCGCACTTGCTTTATTGTGAGATGATTCACTGTGAGAGTGTGAGCATTCCCGACATTTATCATCGACATTTGCCACTGATAGGGCCAAGGGAGACTATTGTGGTCGTTTTTGGCTTCTTTATTAGCACTAGCCGACTATATTTCAACCCCCAAGTAGTTACCCGCGAGTTGAACCCGTGTCCTTTGAGTATCTAACATCTTCCCACCACTTAAGCCAAAGGTTAAATTCCTCTCTGTTGCGATCGGTAATACTTAACGTGACATTTGTGTGACTTGCCTATCCTGAATTCAGATCAGAAGATGGACATTTTCCTTTTGCACTGTAGGCGAGTGTCTACATTCAGTCGAGTGATGATTAACATCCAATAATTATGCAGTTTGTTTGGCCGATAGTGTCAGCTGCAGAGGACTGGTCATTTTTGGCCCGCTTATCGTCACCAACCGGTGATCTGCCAAACTCACGCTGCACGCCTAGGGGTTGAAGCCAAGGCGGTTGAACATTGGAGAACGTTCTCCACACTAGATTAGGTCTTCACACCATGGCAGCTGATATTGAGGGTAATCAGTCACGGGGCAGTGGTATGCATGAATTTGATTCTCTTTACAGGACGAAAATGGGCCTCGTGTACTGGCTCGGGGCTCCTACGCCTGTATCCTTTGAGGGCGGTCAAACAGAGTTGAGCAACCAATAATCGGGAACTGGTATCCTGCGGCTGGTTGACGACGCCAGAAATTACCATCCTATCTCCCTTTGTACCCTTTCCTGTCACCACATCACAAGCCCGAGGCATTTTATCTGAAACTGCTAGTGTCCGTGCACATATACGTCGCAGTTATTTCAAAAATAGGGAAAGCAAGTAAATTTGGGACCCATTTTACCTAGGAAACCTAGAGGTTCGAAATTCCGACCTGGGTCACCGGATACAAGGAAAATTTTTTCATCTTTGGCAGTGATCACAATAATATCTCCGTGCTGATCCGTGCTGAAAATGAATAAAAACGTTAAGGTTTATATGACCATAAGTACACAACTACTGGACCATGCTAGATATTTAAAGTATAGGGAAAAAGAAATTATGAAAATATTGTATCTCGCTGTTAGGAGCATACTCAACAGTCAGGGAGCGAATAATAACGGAAAATATTTCGCGGTTGTCAAGACACGGACAACGGTGATGGATATGTGCATACATAACGAGTACAGATCAACCTTTGGTAACTAGACTAAATTATGAAATTCTAGTGGTGCTCATGAATGCGAAATGGTTATTTTAATTGCTCACTTTGAACTTATTGCTAAGACTTATTTTCTAGGCCACCGGTAATGTGTCAGTTGCTGCATCAGTCACTAACGACCTCAAATATATACTGTGCAAAGGCAACACGGTATTTCCAGACACCTTTTCCCTCGGTCGCTCTCCCCGTAATTTGAGTTAGTGAAACGAGTCGCAGCGAGTAATCCAATATGGAATACCTAACTCAAGATATTTTACTTCCTAAGTCCGGAATTCAGGGGTCTGATCGATTATGAACCCAGCGAAAGTGGTGGTAAACACCAGTTACGCACGAATAAGTAACGTGTACCCACAGTGTTTTGACGGTATTGTTTGAATCCAGTTCTCTACGGTTTTATTTGTAAAGGAACCCCTGAAAAACTCCTTGGTACTATGTTAACACAGTAAAGCAACCGCAGTTGCAGTCTAACTTTAACTGCAGCTTCAACTCATGATAATAAAAAGGGTAAAAGAACAAAAAAGTAGTACGGGTAGGCCGACTATTAAGTTTCAGATAAACTAAGAAGAATTGGTAGAAAACCGGGTTCTTTTCTCAGAATTTTAAAACTGCAAAACGTTTTATAACAAAACCGCATTTTCAGCTGATAAAGTTTACTCACAAGATACCTCGAACCGGTTTTTTGTAGAATCTGATGGAGCGGAGAAGTCGGGGTGAATCCGGGGTAGAAAAGTCAACGAACTGCACATGCCCACTGTTAAGCCCGACTAGGACTACCGGAATTCCGGGAAGTGCACGCATGCAAAGCGCCTGGCAGTGTAGAAATGTAAGAACATGTGTAGTATGCGATTTGGCGTATTAACTTGCCTTCAAAGAAATAACATTGAATCATATTATTGAATGTGAATTCTTTGTATTTGGTCAGGTGTTCTTCCAGTCTATTACTTACGTGCTGAATTAAAAGCAACTGACCGTCCATTTCGAATTCAGGCTCCTACAATTTTTAGTCCAGCAATAGACTAGGACTATTTAAAAATGAATGTAAGCGTTCGTGTCCAGGTAGTTGCATGGATAAGGAAGAAGGATTGTAGAGCACCGGATCGATTTGTTTATTATCCTGAGCTGTCGAACGCTTACAGGAGTCCATCTTCAGAGATAAGAAATAGCAACAAAAAGGGAGCTACTTATATTAGGTGTACACCAATCAACCTGACGACCTGACGACTCCTGACAGTTGATTGGTGTACCCCACTATGATAAACCTCCTTTTTGTTGCTGCTTCTTATCTCTGACGATAGATTTATTTAAGAATTCGACAGCTCAAGACAATAAAAAAATCGATCCGGTGCTTCACAATCCTTTTTTCTCATCCAGTACCATTATATTTCGACTGCTATTTCTTTGCATACAAGATTCGCTGAGTGAAATTCTGGCATGGATAGGATCCACTGAAGAGTTTTAAAGCGTTTGCTGTTATTTTGTAAACATGACTATTATCGG